ATGGTGCTTTTATTTATTTTTAAGTCTAAATTTTAGAGGAAAAATGCTTTAATAGATATATTATTTCCTGCTTGATATACCAGGGGAGGTATTAAGTATTATGAAAGCACAGTTTAATAGAAGTATACATTTTATTTCTAAATAATAATATTTACAACCTATCCTCCTACAGAACTTTATACTTCATAGGATCACACGGGTTTAATAACCTCAAAAATACATGCACAATATTTAAAAACAAACAAATAGACCAAAACAACTGCTATAATAAAGACCGGGTATATTTCAAACTGATTTACCCTGAGGAACATGTGCTAAAGAAACGTGCCACCAGTAATGAATTAAGTCACATGTATTTCAAGTTTATTAAAGATAAATACGGTAACAACAAAAACAATCCTTACATTAAATGGCACAGTTAAGCGCAACTCTGAAAATCGACACGCTTCAGTGTACTTTCCAGATTTGCCAAATGATCGCATAATTTAATAAAACCAACGTACAGTCATGGTTAAAAAACGTCCAGATAAACGAGGCATAAAAGTATGAAAGAACTTACAACAATGAGTATTTGGACGCTGACTCGAATCAAATGAAACCCATAAAATCGCAGTCTCGCTATTAACCGGCTGAAGAATATTGTCCACTTACAGTTCACGTTTACACAGCGAGAGTGCTTATATTGTCGGCGTTTCGATTCACATTAACTTAATTGTACTTCTACACAGAGCGTAGTTAGATTTGATGGTGATTTTGGCAGGGGTTGAGCTTGATCTGAAGGCGATGCTAACATTGTGTTTTTTTTTATTTTCTTTGACCTACAGTGAATTTACTTAAAAAGACCGCTCTAAATCTTAAGTCGGTGAAGCACCTTGTATGGACTACTGGACATAAACTACATAAAATGCTTTAGAATAACAAAGGATATATAACTTGACCTTTAAATTTACTTTTTTTGAAACATACTACAGGGCATTTAATATTTTTGTCGATAATAATTAACTTGGACTTCCAGGACGACTTTCTTGTGCTATCTCCATTTTTTTACATAATTTATGTCTCTCTTAGAATTTGTCAGTTATAAGTATACTTAGTATAAATGCTAAGTCGCGCAAGAAAAGTGTTTTAAGGACTTGTAAGGAATACACGTGTACTAAGGAAATTTTATCCAACACCGCTTAATTTTTCTATTTTTTTTACCGTTCATTAAGTTAGATTATCTAACTGATACATAAAAAGTAATTTACGACTACTTACTATGGTGAACGAATAAGAAAATCAAAAGCGACAAAAAATGTTTGAAAATGGAAAAACGCCAGAAACTTTTTATATTCTCCAAAATATTACAGAAGAACCTAAAGCTGGATGTTATAAATTAATATCGAAACAGTGGAAAGAAAATGTAGTTTTCAAAAATGAAGAAAATAGTGACATAATTTCAGCCAAAGATAAAAATCATATTAGTGTGTTTCTACAAGTACGCTGTAGATGAAATGTTGTATGGTCATGAGTACTTCTATGGTATATAAAAATGTCATATTAAATAACGGACAGCTGATTTCCCACTTAAAATGTCAACCAAGATCTCACAAGCCCATAAAGGTTAAAATCTTGAAAGGGAATACCGAAACAACTTGATAATATAGAAAGTAAGAGAGGATAGCTATATAATTTGATGCATGATATAGAAAGGAATACATAAAAAAATCAGTACTACATAAATATTTTTCACACAAATTCTTGAATTTTAAGATATGTCTAAGAACAATAAATATTTCATATGTCCTTCAATTGTAAGAGAGAACTATCCATTCAACTGAAATCAACACTAAGATACCCGGTATATTTATTACTTTCTTGAATCTAACTGATGCTCAGTCATATACTGCACGCAGTCTGAAACGTTCTTAGACCAATTTATGGATAAATCCAGGAACTACTATCACAACAGAGAAACATACGAAGAGTGAAAATTAGAAGAAAATTATACACAATTTTCAGTTTCCAAAAAGATCTAGATGGTCGCTGCGATCAAGTAAGTATAGTTTCCCCAGTTGTAATTCGGTTTTATAATAGTACCATAATGGTTAAAACCTTCTTTATGACTGTCCCATCACGGCAGTAGTAATCTGTTGTTAAGGAAGTTAACTTTTACACATCATAAAACCGAATTAGAACTGAGAAAACTATAATAGATTATTCTTTTAATTTAAATATTAATTTAAATTGTATTCCTTTTATTTGTTCTAAAAACTAATAAAATAGAAATACATTATACAGGGTAAGTCAATAAGCGTCCTCTTGTCGGTATCTCATTAAATATTAGACAAAGAAAAATTAAGAATCAAAATTATAGGGCTTTTTGAGTTGAATGACTAAAATAATTTTTTAATGTATGGTAGGTATAACTTGACTTTTTAAATGTAACACTCTATAAGTTTTAGAAGCACTGATTCTTAGATTTCACAAGCGTATTTTATTTTTGAATTAACAATGAGACGTTGTCAAGTTACCTACAACATTTTATAAATAGATAGGCAAAAGTATCTGGTTGGTTATAACTTCAATAAAGTTATGTTGTAGTATGTAGTGTTCTAATTCTATAATAGGTATTCAAATTTTCAAATGATATTATTCACACAGAACACCCTGTAGGTAATCGTTACAGGGTCTTACTCCGTTTTTTATTCTATTCCTTTTTATTATTTATGATTATGATTAAAAATTGCGCACTAACTCGATGACACGTTGTTAAGGTCTATTATTCAGCAATTATAATTGAAGGTTCCTTATATTTTGTTTTTGAAAGAATTTGAAAATCCTTGCTATTCCGTTGTTGATAGAGGAGATAAAGGAGATAAAGGAAAATTGGGACTTTCTTTTTCATAATAGGTATGAAAGAAACTTCGGGACTGTTGTATTTTGTTTTTGAAAAAATATGAAAATGTCTGGTGGGTTTTCGTAATAATTTCAAAAAACCTTGGAAGTCCCTGGTGTTTTATTTTTGAAAGAAATTGAGATAATATTGCTCACCCGCCCCTTATTTTCTTAGAAAATAGGTCCTTTTCCAAAATCAGTCTTATATTGACAAGTACTAGCCACGCCCACCCGCCCTTTATTTTCTCAGAAAGTATATCATTTGACAAAATCAATCAATAATTATTGGTCCCAAAGTTAAATTTTTCTTTCAGATATTTGACCACATTTTAATTCATTATTTAGTATTGGGTACATGAAATCCATGGGACTTTTATCATTCAAAATAAAAATAAGTAGATACCATGTCTTTTTCTATAGTGTTCTTCATTTTATAAGTATTACAAAAATCTTAAAAATTGCTAATTTTTCTTTTTGTCTAAATCGATATTGTGTACATCAAATTTACGTAAGGAAATTTGTATGATTTTTTTCGGATTTAGACTTAGATAGAGACTATACAGGTATCTCAGATAATTATAATTCTTCCTAATATCTTGATAGTGGATATAGGTATTGAAATTCTGTAAACGCTATTGTTTTTAGCTTGAAGTGGGAAGCATAATTTAGTACGATGTAAATATGATGCCATGCATGGCGTTGACGTCGCGTTGTAAACCTATACCTATCTTATTAAATGATTTTGATATAATTAAATTACGATTACAGTGATATACAACACTTAGAGCGGTTTATGGAACGCAAATTAAAAGCCAATTCGAGATTAACTTTTAATTGAGATTCGTTGCTATGCAACGTGCATCTTTTAACAATTCGCGAGCTCATATTCTACATTTTAATCCTCTGTTAAATTAATCGAAAATTAAATATTTAATTCGCTTCCTATAAACCTGCTCTTAGACATTTATTTCATTTTTAGATGACAAAAAGTAAAATTTATAACAAAAAAATGCAAGATTGGTGAAATAAAGAACCACTATTTTACGACAATGCTAAAATGACTACGTTTAAAACAGATCTTGTTTGCTCATAAAATAAAATGCTAGTGCTTTATTTCACTCAAATTTCATTTTTCTTTGTTTATAAATTTTATTTTCTTTATCAACTAAAAATGAAATATAGATCTAAGTGTTAGAATTTTTAACAATATATGTTGCATTTTAAAAAAATATAAGTAGGTATACATGGCGCCGCCGGCGCCATATATTTCCATTATTAAAATTTAGCTTCCCCCTTCAAGCTAAAAACAAAGGCGTTTACAGAACTTCAACTTCTGTTCTTAGCTAAAGTTGATAATTAGTACGATTTTTAATTTTTAATAGACAAATTTAATATTTTATTTAATAATATTTGAAACAAAAATTAAATATGAATTAGGAAAATAATTATAATAATCTAATATTTGTTATAAACACTGTGTGCTAAGACTTTATTTTAACAAAGTCCACACCTTTATTTATTCATAAAATATTGCAATGTGTTGAAAATAACCCTATTACGATTTTTTTGATAAGTTTTACACTGGTCATAAATTTCAATTAACTTTTGATATTTAGCAACATCGCAAAAAAATTTAAAAAATAAAATATGGTTGTAAAACCTTAAAAGACAGGGTCCACCTAGAATATTAAATATACAAGGTGAGTCAGCTAAAAGGGGAAATCTCGAATAACTTTTTTATTTTTGAACCTATGTTAACGGAATTTAGTTTATAAATAAAGATGAATGAGTTTTATGTACGTATCACTTCATTAACAAAAAATAATTGACGGAAAGCTCAATTTGAATTACGGATTTTTATTTTACTATACAATTGAGAAAAAAAATACTCTGCAGAATTCAATATTTTTACGTTTGATACTAATTATTTGCTTTTGTAAAATAATATTTTCTTAAAGCATCAACGTTAGTCATAAAATTAATAATTTTTTTTAAGAAAAATTGCAATAATTTACTAATATTAAATAGTGAAGCTAATAAAGCAATGTTTTACATTTTTTTGAAATAAAATAAAAACTGTAAAAATCGTAAAAATAAAAAAAAAATAAATGGTATTGCTACAATATACTTTTTCTGTTGTTTTTTCTAAGCAGTGAATTAACGTATGCACGGGAGCTATTATAGCATTTGCAAATTCAGTATCATTACTTTTGGCCAATAAATAAAAAAGTTATTCTAGGTGTTTCCTTTTAGCTGCTTCACTCTGTATATGTGGCCGTTCTATTTAAAAGAACTAACTTGTATGTAACGCCCCAAAAACAAAACGCTTTGTGTAATAACAAGAATTTTAGATTATACTGCACAAAAATCCGTACAACTCTTGATTTTTTTATATGTCTAGTAACCAATGAAATATCAAGAAGATCGCGCTTATTGACTCACCCTGCATCTATTAGTATTTCATTTTTTCAAGTGTCAGTAAACTAAAATGATAGTTTCAACACCACAGTCATACTGTGTTCATAAGATGCTGGATAATTTTTTTATTTCCCTTTGACATAACCGGAAGTACATATATTTAACAAGTCTCTCGGTAGCTACCAACGTGACTGAAACTTAAGAACATATTTTTTATAAATTAAAAAACTCTTTATGACTCCTGTTTTCCAAGGTATGGTTCTAGTAAAAATAGTACGTATTTGTTAGGGTAAATGGAAGTATAAAAGTATGAGCTGAAGATACAGCTTTTCTCTAAAAATAAAATTGCACTTAATTGCTGTTAACCCAAGGCACAGTTTGTTTTAATTATGGAACAAAAAAACTGACACTAAGCAAACTAAACCTGTCGCGGTTGACCATTATAGTGCTTTCTTTCCATTCCTCGGTGCTTCAGTCTATTTTAACAAGGAAAAACAAACCCCAGAAAAATTTTTGAAAATAAATGTAAACGAACCATCCCTTGCTTAAGTTCAAACATCCCCGCACCCAGCTTTAGAACCGCGCTCAAAACCAGCTCACCCCCACCTTCGATTTCTACCCTTGAGCTTCACTCACAAATTACAGCGCCGTGAGATCGTAGTCCGACTTGATGGCCGGCGGCGCGGCATTCTGGGCCGGTCCGCAGCCGGGGGACGGCGCCAGGGGGGCGAGCGCCTGCCCCATCCCCCCCACGTGCATCGGGTCCCCGTGCATCATCCCCGCATGGTGCAGGCCCGTGGGCATGGGGTGCGCGTGCGAGTGCGACGAGATCTGGTGGCCCGCCGCCAGGGACATGTCCAGCATGTTCTCCCTCAGCCCCTCCATTTCTCGGCCGGGGTTGCTGTTTTTCCGTTTGTCATTGTTATTGGCCGAAGTGGCGTTCTGTGTTTTGGCCCGAACTTTGCCCCCTTTGGCCGCGGTCGTCGTCGTCACGCCGGCGGGGTTGGTTTTTCTCCGCACGTTCTTCGTGTTGGGCAATTTGTTATCCTTCTTCCACTTCATCCGCCGGTTCTGGAACCAGATTTTGATTTGGCGCTCGGTGAGGACTAATGTGTGCGCGATTTCGATGCGTCTTCGCCGGGTTAAGTAGCGGTTGTAGTGGAATTCCTTCTCGAGTTCGAGGATTTGGTGGCGGGTGTAGGCGGTGCGTTGACGTTTGGGTTCCATACCGGGTGCGAAGCTGCCATTTGCTGGAAAGAAAGAAAAAGGTTGAAATATAATCGATCATCACCAGAAGGAAATCGCTGGCAGAAATTAATTTACCCAATTTAATAATATTTAATAATAGTAATAGTATTTCTTGTCAAACAGAAAAGTACACTTCTACAAGTGACAATAACCGAATAGTGAATTTCGTATTGGTTTTATAGAAATTTGAAATTAAATTACATATCCTTAATTTCAATAAATTCAGTAATATTTAACGTAACATTTTAACCACGTTGACATTATCTCGACAAAACTAAAATCAAATAAGAATAACGAGAGTAGATAGACGCCCGTAATCCCAATTCATTAGAATATTATTTCTGTTTTTGAATATTTACAATCATTAACGGATATAACAATAACAATTACAAAGTTATCCAAGCTTTGCGAGAGAAATATTGCCATTATGTTGAAACCGACAAGGGTGATAAAGTCGTTATATCTTAGATAAAGAGGGTTATTTCGATAGGGTCAATATACCTATCCGTAATGGTCCTTATTACCTATTCAATCGTTAAGAAGAGAATTAAAAAAAAAATAACCAGAATAATCTGTGAAACAATATGTCCAAAAAATGTAACAGTCTTATTACGAAGTTTTAAAAAGCATATTTTGATTCCAGTAGTTTCCAAATTGTACTGCTTATCTACGCCAAAATTCATAAACTGATAAATAGGTACAATTTAATAACTTGCCAATGAAACAACCAAGTTTTGCTATTCAAAATTGCCTGGATTTCATGAGTCACATTAAAGAAATTGTTCTGAAACATTATTTTCAGTTGACGTTAGTTCGCTTTTTCCAGTTGTATATATATTACAAACCTTGTCTCTTTATGTGTTGCTTGTCCAAAACGGCTTAAACAATAAATCATAATAGAATATATTCATTTCACCAACGTTTATATGTTTTTCAATTCAACAGGCAATTTATTCAACAACATGAAGGCACAGCTAAGAACAATTAATTGCCTCCTTTCTTAGCTAATTTTTGCATGAACCAATTTGAAAACAGCCTGCACTATAAATTGAAATAAATAAGTAAAGCTTTAAAAAACTAAAAATTCCTAGTTTCGTAGTAAAATACTGTCCATCGATATTTGTCACTTCTTTACATGTAGGTACTACATTTTTACAATTAACAGTATAATCTGCAAAATTTCTGGATGTTTGGAAGCATGTTTGTTTATATGCCAAAATGAGATAAAATAGAAGACTACCGTCCCATTTTTCTCCTGCGTATGTAATTCTGCAAACATTTTTAAACACTAACAATATTATGCATATTTACAAAGGAGTTAAGTACACTATAACACTATTCCAACACAGTTTTATGCACAAAAAAAATTGATCGAAGGTTATAGTTTTGACCGAATTCCCCCCTAAATCCAGCTTTTCCGAAAAATTAAAAGGATTGATTTTGGAAATTTTATTTTTTATGAAAATCCTTAAGTATAAGTTAAAATAAAGATATCTAAGTAATGTTAAAGGAAAAAAATGCAGTAAATCATTCTTCATATAATTAATAAAATATACTGATTTCCAAAAAGCGTTTAATCAGGTTGATCACTTCACATTATTGCAGAAGTTTCTCTTGTTTTCGCCTCTAGTCTTTCTAGCAGAGAATATCGGGTTCTCTATATAATATGACGAGTTTAAACTTCGTCTTTTGAGATCCCCAAAGATCAAGTCTCGCCCCTTTGCTACTCCCTTTCTTTATTTGCGACATCATAAATCTTATAAACCTTGCAAAATATTATTATTATTAATATATAATTAGATTGCGATTAAGTTTTGAATGCGGTATTAAAGTTCCACGTTACTTACTCTACACCAATCACACGTCGCGCAACGCCTCATTAAATGCGTGATTAACTTAATCGCAATTAAAATAAGTATTGACTAAACTAGCCCTTAAAGAGCTAGCCATTCAATTAAACCAAAAATATTCAAAAAATTAGTTGACTTGTATATCTGTACAGATATCGCTTCTATGAAGCACTAACAATATAGCTGCGGTACTTCATCTGGGAAAGAATCTGTTACACATTTTATCGTAACTCAATGAAAAGTAGTCACTGAAGTGCATGGTGCTCAGAAAAACTCATCCAGAATCACGATATTTGACATGTTTAGCAAAACCAAAAGATTTTTTTAATTATGATCGGAAACACTATCTTGAATGTTTTTCAAATAACTGGAACAGACAAGCTTTTAACATTAGTGGACTTTACGTTTGTTGAGAGAAGAAGCGCTATTTGTTTTTTTGTTAGAAGTGTATACTCTGTGTTTTTATTAGTTTAATTTCAGTCTTATTGTTATTAGTTATTACTCATTGCAGCTGAGAATTTAAACCCAATTCATGAACTAGAGATAATCATTAACTGCTTTCTTGAAATTATAACACTATTCGATAATTCGTGAAAGCATATTTGGTGCATCAAAAGGAATATCCACAACTAGGATAGAATGACAGGAATCTACTTTGACCTAATATGAAGGTTTCATTTAGCTTCCAAAGATTACTTATTTGAAAGTACTATGACTCGATATTAGTTTGAAATTAATATTGGGTCATTAAAATTCAGAATATTATTTAACTGTGTAATTCAAGAAAATCAAAGTAGTCGCAAACACATTTTTCTGTTTTATTAAACCCTGTCATATAATTTTCAACCTTGATTAGGTAAATTGTAGTCACCCAAAGAGATGTATGACACATTCAGTCATCTATATTTTCCACTTTAAACAGACGATTTAAGTATATGTTATTAAAGTTTAGTAAATGGAAAGTCTAAACTAACTGCTATTAGAATAGAACAAAATAAATCACCAACAGTGCTAACCTACAATTTGTCAATTTTCATCTGTCGTTAGCGTAATGCGAAACATTTTAAAGTCACTGGTTATTTTTCAGTAATGTTGAGCAGTAAATATTTGTTCAAATGACTTTCTAGTTATTATTATTATTAACAACGTACTAAATTTGAAAGTTTGGTAAGTATATGTATATACCTGTGTATTGTGATCTTAGCTAACTACACTGGAAAGTTGTAGTCCTTGTAATATTTTAAAAAGTGTTTTCACAGTGTAGTGAGTAAAGTCCGCCATACACAGAACTTGCTGCTGCTGACCACGTTTTAGCGTTATTAAACCAGGGATTACGAGTGCGTGTTGTATTGTAATATATTAGGTAGGTATATGAAAATATAGGAAACTGAAGTTTAGTAGTAAAGAAAACATACATCGCTTGACAAATTACATTATCTCAATGCACATTGTTAACTTGTTACTAGAATTTTCCACTGTTAAATAGCTGTTGTTGTAGATCGACTTTTCAGTGTGAAGTAGAATATGTAAGTGCTTGTTTGTTCTTTCTAAATAGCGACAAAATATATAATTGGGATATCCACTGTTACAGTAAAAAAGTTATTTCATTCTTATTTATTACGAAACAGAAATAAATGTGGTAGTAAGACACGATAAAAAGAAAAATGACAATCTCTTGTCATATCTACTACTTTTATAAAGTGATCCTAATGAAAACAAAGGCAAAATATCGATTATTCGTAAATTTTGGTGCTCGATGTCAACTCACACCATTTAAATTTAGTTGACAAACAGAGCAGTAACATGTAGCTATAATCTTGCGTGATGTCAGTTAGTAAGGTGTCTAACTAGGCAAATATATGCTGAAGTTGGAAGAACTTTTCTTAAAATATAGAGAATATCTAACAAAATCGTGATAGGACAATTCACAGGGATACCTCTACTGTAATTTTACATAGATATGAGCTTCGACTACAACGGCCAAGAACATATATCCAAACTTCGACGTTTTTGTAAGTACCATCTACAGCCTGTTATTGAAAGGAATGTAGAAAATAAAATCGGCAATTGGTCTAGAGGTAGGGGTGCTAAAAGTAAAAAAAAGTTCAGGTAAAAGTGTTCTCCTTTTAAAGAAGAAACACGGTTTTTTTTCAAGAAAGTAACATACTAGACTCCAGGACTATCATTAGAATCTTGCTAACAAGTAATGTAAAATAATTAACCAACAATTTATCAAAATAACAAAATAGACGATTTATACATAATAAAATTTTAAAAGTCATTAACATTATTCATTGAAATAATTCATAATTTGTTACTTCGGTAAATTTAAGAAGAGTGGTTTTACTGACACTTTAATAAAAATTTCTTTCTTCAATTGAGGTACTCGGAGAAATGAATTATTTTTACTATCATTATCATCTTCTTTGTTGTTTGTCTGATTGCAACTAAGGACCTAAATTCCGAGTGTCCTCTTGACCATCTATCTAAGTTTTTTTAAAGCATTTGATAAATTTTCAAGGTGTCGTCTTCTACACCTAGATATACTGGAAAATGTTCTCCAATGCTTTAATTTATTCTTCAGTAGCGGACTTTTAGCGCCAGGGTTGGGAACGCATTCAGTAAAATATTATGACTGGAGTGCCAGAATGCTCAGTACTTCGTCCATTACTTCGTATTTCCTAAGTACCCAACATTATAATATAAGACAAAAAGTAATTATCAGAATTTAACGCAAGATTTTCATGTCATTTATAATTAATTTTAATTAATACCAGAGAGTGGTTGCTTCCGTTACACTTGGACCTACTATTTTATATGTTCGTAATAAAAGCCCTGACATCTGTATTTCTAGCAAATATTAAAACGTCAAGTACAGAATCGTGTATTGATTTAGGTGTTATCATTAACAGCAATTTATCGTGGTCAGACCATGACGTATTTATCAGGAGGAAGGCTCACAGAATGCTGTTTCTTCTAAGTAAAAACTAGAGTGTTTTCCAGTACTTGATATGGCTTCCTTTGGGCATTTTTATCGCATAAAATAACGTTTCTACTCAAAATGTGAGGTTTGGAATATGTAGTGAACTTGTAAGAAATTAGTAAATACCTACGTATAATATAGATACAACTAGTACAAACATACTTTTTAA